GGGGCAGTCTCGTGGGCGAGACCCCACCCACCCCGCCCCGGCCCCCGGGCCCCCCCCCCCCCCCCCCCCCGCAGGGGCCCCCGGCGCGGTGGTGGCCGGGAACACAATAACATCTTGAGGGGGAGAATGCGCGCCAGACGGTCCCGCGGGGGGCCTCGAGACGGCGAGTAGGGGGCCACGCCCGCCGGTCTGGCGAGCCCTCGATCGCGCGCGATCCCTCATGCCGCCGGCGCCGGCGCCGACCCCCGCGACCCGGGGGAGAGCCACACACGGGGGAGGAGCCAGCAAGAATGTCTCTCCTGGCGGTGGAATCCCGGCGCCCCGGGAACCGCCCCGGCCCCGGGTCTGCCCCGAATTCCGCCTCCGGCCGGTTGTTCTGTCTCTCTCTCTCTCACCTGATATCGGCTTGTGGGCCGAGGGGCCGGACATCCGGCTACGCTCCCAACACACGTACACGTACACGTACACACACACACACACACCCATCCCGGAGTACTTGGCTGCCCATGGGTGCGGATGCACGAATGTGTGTATGCGCGCACGCAGTACGCACACACACACACACACACATGCCCGCTCGCCGCAGAGACGTGCCGTTCTACGCATGCTGGCATCGGGGGCGTACACTCGCACGAGCATGCCGCCCTCGCCTTTCTCCCTTCGGCGCGAGGACGCGGATGCGGGCCAGCACGAGACCCCGTCCTTTTCTCTTTCCAGTGAAGGCGCGTCCGCCTGGAGGGCTGGCAGATGCGGGACGAGGCTATTGAGGAGAGAGCCCGGGGGCGGTTGGGCGGACAGATCCCCCCCCCCGCTTGGTCCGGTCTACCCGGGGGCTATGCGCGCGCGCGCGCGCGCGCCCGGTGCCACCAACGCAGCCGCTTCGCATCCCCCGTCCGCGCAGCCGCGCGGGAAAGATTGCCCGAGGAGCCCCTGTTGGACTCCGACAAACGACCCCGGGCCAGCCAGCGCGCGCGCGGCTGTTCAGCGGACCAGGCCGGAGACAGGGATTTCGTCCGTGGAGCCCTCCTTGACTTGGGGGCTGCTGTTCCCGCGCCCCCCCCCCCCCCCCCTGCCCCGGGGTTGTGCCCCTTTTCCTCGGGGGCCGTGCGCGCGGTCGCCGCCCCGCGCGATCGGGTCCCCCTCTTTTCGGAAGGCAACCGGTCGGGCGGTCATTTTGGCCCTGGGCACCCTCTTTTTTCCGCCCTCCCCCTCCCTCCCGGTGTTGGCCCCCTCCCCCCCTCCCCCGCCGTTGTTTTTCGCCTCTTCCCCCCTCCCCCTCTCACCTCCCCTCCCCTGTCTCCCACCCGGTCGGCAGGCATGAGCGGCTCCAACCGCCCATCAGCCGTCGGGCGTCATGACTCTCTGATCTTCTCGCCAGCTGAGGGAGCCACCAGCTCGAATACGGCCGGCGGCCTGTCGCATGGTGGCCCGGCCGGGTCCATGGCCTTCGGCAGCACGGCCTCCCTGTCCGGCGCTGGCGCCGGGCTGGCCGCCTCCAGCGCCGGCGGCTCTTTCAGCCTGTACAGCGCCGGCGGCGCGCCCTCGGCCGGGCCCTCAGGCTCCGGTCCCGGCGGCGAGCACGCCGCTGGCGCGGGTGCCGGCCCCGGAGGCGACCCCGGCGACTGGGGCACCTTCATCATCGAGCAGCAGCCCGACCCGGAGGTCAAGCTCTTCCAGACCATCTTCGATCTGTTCCGTAGCGAGGTGCGCGCCCTGGCCGCGTGCTCTTGCCCCGTCCGGGGGCTTTCGTGCATCTCCTCCGCGCGCGCGCCCCCCCCCACCACCCGAATGAGCA